GGGGTTATTACTATAGCCAGATCTGGAGCATAGCCTTCTTTGAGACACAGTAAACACGATGCAAAATACTCTCCTAGAATATTGAACACAATCGATCAAAACTTACTGTCTGTTACATGTTTCAAGATTCAAGATTTCTATATTTTCCATATACAACAAGTGTATTGGAATGCTTACTCGTTCAACTGTACCCAGTAACATTAGAGAAAAAAATAGGAACAGACATGGACAATAAGTGTAGACAAGACGTTAGAATACAGCCAACAGGACATAGTGCAAACAGTACAGTACCTTAAAGTGCAGGTGCTAATTTGAGCTGTTTAAGATGCGGACTGTTTTTGAATCTATTAGTCAGTGTTCTGATACTGCGATACCTCCTACCAGAACACAGGGGTGAAAGCAGATCGTGACAAGGGTGAATTGGGTCCCGAAGTACAGCTCCAGCCCAGTTGTGGCAGCGGTCGAGATATATCCGGTCGATGGAGGGTAGCTCAGTCCCAGTGATGAGGTTGCGGACCTCACAAACCTTTGTATGGCTGTGTGTGTCAATCAATGTTCTTGAGTGACTCTCAAACCTGCTGTCTGGCTGATATCCATTAACATGATTTACCACCTCTGTTATTCATCGAGTAGATATAGCAGGACTGTACAGGTTGTATTGGCTCATCCTGGACTGGGACCCTGGCTGTGATCTCCGGGCTGTAGGGGCTCATCCTGGACTGGGATGCTGGCTGTAAACTCAAGGTTATAGGGGTCGTCTCATCGGAGAGTCAGCATACTGAATTTGTTTGAGGGCTGTCTCCTTGGGTCTCCACTACACATACACATATTATTTCTCTAATTTTGTGTATTTAGATGACTTTAGAAATGCATATCCACAGGACCCATCGTTTCTGTTTGTGAAGCTGAAAAAATGACCATACCCCTGGAGTGATCTTTTAGTAGTATAGGAGCTCTTCAATCAATGACAAGGGCACTTTTATAAACTCTAGTGGTTTATAACCTTTTCCAGATAGCCTATTATTTCTCTTTAAAAGGCCGAGTGGAATCTGTGTGTAGGATTGCTCTGTATTTTAAACTTTTGTTTCAGATTTAGTTTGCTTCGAGTTACCGGCGCAATTCAGTGCATGACCATATTGGGGGTGGATACATAAAGGATAAAATGCATATTCATTTTGGGCGAGACAGTTATCATTTTAGAAGTGCACAGAAGGGCAAAGTTAACAAGGTATATATTAATATTGACAAAAACCACATTTTTGTGTTGTGATGATACTTGGTAACAACTGTTTGTTTGTGCTGTATGATACACATTGTTCCTGTTGGTTCGATTTTGGAGAAAAAAGGGCTCTGATATGTTTGACTATAAACTCCCCCAGGCCCCCAGCACTCACATTCTGGGGTTCCAATTCAGGAGAAGAAAATAAACCAGGCGGTTGAATGAATTGTATCTCGCGCTCCAATACAAATTGTAAAACAGAGCTTAATGATGTTAAGAAATAAAAAAACGCCAGGTGTTAAAGAGTCTCCAACTGCCATTCAACAGGGCCTCTCTTGTTTTGGGGTGAGAGGGGTATATCCCAACCCCTCGTGCCCGTCCCGCCAGGACTTTTCCCCGATTTCCATGGGAGTCCCAGATATCCTGCAGTACACTGCATTTGCAGGAATAGGAAGGGACTCTGTCCCAACCTCCGAACGAGCAGAAATGAGCCGCGCAGTTGGATGAATCTGCCGCGAGTCCAGGATCTTGAGAGTGCGAGCACGCTCTCTCTGATGCAGAGGCTGTGCCAGCTCTGCGGCAGGAGGGCAGAGGGACACGCCGCTGTGCTCTGATCGGGGGGGTAGTAGTGTTTCTCAACTCCCCCCCACCCCCACGTTTCAGATGTGAGTGTTGAGCCGGGGAGACTCGTCCTGCTGCACAATAGTATTGTAACAGTGTCTTATCCTCTCTGTCTCTCTCTTATTCTCTTATTCTTGTGCTCAGCTTTTCATGATTCGCAAGAGCAGTTGCCAACGGTTTCCTAATCCACTCGGCTCCCGGAAACGAAACCCCGAAACTGGTTTCGTCTATCCGTTTGGGCAGCTTTACGATTTCCTGCCGTGGGGTGGGTGTGCACCGTACCTGGGGATGGGGAGGCAAGAGATCCTTCCCCACAGTGTGTAGATCCGAGAGCCCCTACTGCACCAGCAAAAGCCCTTGTCTAACGCGGAGGGCCCCCTCCCTTGAATTAAGGGAACCTTACCTGGAGTTAACCCTTGAGAAATTCGGAAAGGTGGAGCTCACTCGCCCTCTCTGTGGTGCTATAGCTACCCGTGTCAGGTTTGCACAATGCCCCATCAGATCCTGCTGGTGTCCGGGGATGTCCACTGGGCAGACTGAAGCAATAGGGGTAAGGTGGCATGGGAGACGCCTGATCCCGGGAGACCATAGGTCCAGAGCCTTCAGGCACCATGCTACAAAATAGTCATTATCTTTGCTGTTATTCTTTTCCTTGGCTGGTGATTTTACCCAAAGGGACTTGCACTTTTACTCACTTAGACCGCTGTGATCTGTGAGTGCAGCTTAAAGGCGCTGCCTTGGATCTGAGCCCGCAGCCTTTCAGTTCAGAGTCCAGAGCCCTGCCCACACTGCCCCACACTTCCGCCATGGTGCTAATCTCCTAACGGGCTTCGATCTGTCCTTAACCGATGTGACGGTAGCCACCGTCCGGTTGAAATCACGACTCTCGAGGCTATCTCCACTGTTCTCCTTTTGGAAATTAATTTTTCTCAGGCTGGAACAAGTAAGAGGAAAATCTTTCAAAAGCTTTTTTGGTGAGGAGCAAAAAGGGTCAGGACGCCCCGAGACGGAGACCAGGGCAGGACGCCCAGAGGCAGAGGAGGGGAGGACTCACTGAAACAAAGAGATTGTCTCTTTGTCTTAACAAATCTGTGGGTTGAAAATATATATAAAGTACTCCTCTTTAGATTTCCCTTGCACTTGGCAATGTCCTCTTAAGAGAATAATCGATGTATACCTCTGCCAGCTTTTATTCCTTGTGCGCCAGTCTTGCATTCTAAAAATAGGAATGTTTTCCAATTTGGTCGCCTCTCTGCCAGGAACCTTTTATTCAGTGACACAAAGAGGGAGTACACTTCAAAACGCGCAGGGAGCATTAATTTCACCCTCTCATCTTTTGGAAGAGCATGACAGACCGTAATACAGTAGTATTTTTTGTGATCTGCGTCTCCACTTCGCTGTTTAGGAAGATGACCAAAACCGACCATCTGAAACAGATGGTCCAGGCATTTTCATCCGGGAACAGGATGTTCCTTTCTCGGCATATGGCCTGCATGTTCCCTTCCAGCCCGCTGCTGTGAGTCTGCTGTGCTTGTGGTGCATTCAGATTGCCAGTAGGATCAGCACATCTGGAATTTGCCGGTTTTGACAGGACTGGCAGCAGTGTGATTTCATATGCACCGTAATCGTACAGTAACTGGTATGCTCTTCTAGTAAATCCAAATTTGCGTGATCCCGAAACAGCCGCACACATTATTACGTGTGCGGGGAAACATTCCGCTTTCCGTTTGTGTTTTTCCCCCGTGAGGTGCGTCTAGCTTCGAGATCCGGCTCGCCTGAGTTCAGCGGTTATTCCGAGCAGGGTCGGGTCACGGCATCCCCTTATTTGCCACCAGCCAGTCGTGGGCAGCCAAGGATTACAGAGCTGGCAGAGAGGCACCAGCAAATTTCGAAAGAATTCCAGCTGAATCCCACTAGGGTCGTGAATCCAAGATGTGACTCATTTCAATTGAGAATAACGAATGAAGAGCCCCAACAGCTGGCTTACTCTATGTGCACACAGGGGTAGGCTTAGGCACGTTTAATCAACATCAGATTTTGAGAGAGAAGGTTAAGGTCGGGGTCCGGGTCAGGCTTATGCCCGTGACGAGCAGCAGAACTGTGAGGAGGCACTTGGATTTTCCTGGTGTTTTTCCTGCAGGATTTCCTGGGAATTCGTTCATTCACTGGTGGCTGTCAATCCAGTGCATCGTGAATGGAGAAGCAGGTCATGAGGTTCCGATATCTACGTAGGTAATTACTGCTCTCCTCACTGTCAAAAAGCTATGACTCCACAGATCACACCAGATACAAAGTAGGACATGATTCAGGAACAGAGCTTGTTATGTGAAATTAGCTCAGGAGGGTGAGAGAGAGAGGGATTGTACTAGAGCAGAAATTAAAATTCTCATCTAATTCTCATTCCTGTAGAGAACATCCTTGATGTAGGATGAGCCCCTAGAGCCCAGAGATCACAGCCAGGGTCCCAGTCCAGGATGAACCCCTACAGCCCGGAGATCACAGCCAGGTTCTTGAATTCAAGACGTGCCTCATTTCAGTTGTCGTTGAATAAGCTAAATGAGTCATAAAACCAAGACTAAAACTAAATTATACACTAACAATACTCAAAACCATGCCTTAAGTTTTAAAAATGTGGACAGTCACAGAGTCTCCAAGCAGATTTGGGCAGTGAGCTCCACAGACAGGTTTGAACCATTATAATTTAATAACATTTCATTAGAGATAATTAACACCTGTTTCAGCTGGAGGGGAGGTGCTGCTGCAAATCATTGGCTACTGTCCAGTGAGCAGCCCTTCACACCTCTGTCTTTAATCATCAGCTCCTGATCATCGGTCCAGATCCCTTCAGTCTGAGGCCGAGCTGGAATTTAACTCTTGGCAACTGCATGGCGAATCCCGTGTGTCCACTGACAGCAGGTCTTTCACTGTCCCTCTCCCTCGCAGTGTTTGATCTGCACCAGAAGTTCTTTCTCACGACTCGTCTTTTTTTGTCTTAGATCAGGATTCATTTAGGATTTCTTCTTCTTTGGACAGAAGTGTGAGGTAATCGGCAATCCCTAGTGTCCAATAATGCGTGTGATTGCTACCACACGGGTGCCTATAAATCTAGTGTTGGAGAAGGCCGGGAATGTGAACTTTTTTGGCTGATGTGTTTATTCGCAATGACTTACTGGGTGCATGCCCGTTCATACAGTACGGGTTCGAACCCGCAGCCCTGGAGTCCCGACAGCTGCTCCACACATGGTGGAGGCATGAGGAGTTCCTGAGCTCGTGGGAGTGGCAGAGAAGAGCTGAAGCAGGGCACAGGGCTCAATTTATGCCCCCAGGCCATTCAGAGCCACAGTCTGCCGTCTCCTCGAGCAGACCATAGTCCTGGGGGCATTGTGGGATCGGGGATTGATGAGGATTTTTGACGGAAAATGAAATGGGGCTGCGCACAGGTGTTTCCACCCCGACTGTCCAGTTCTCCTGCCCGGCCTCTTGCGTTTTCCGATCTGCTCATCCCGCCCGCTCGTGTCCTCCGCGGGGGGGGCGTGTAATTTTTCCCAGTCGTAGCGGGGCGGAACGACGACCCGTCCTTCCCCCCTCCCGCTCCGAATCAATCCCGCTGTCACGGCCCTCGTGTCGGCGTTCCCGGCGCGTTTCCGCAGGCCTGGACGGGCGGATCGGGGGGGGGCCGAGCCGCTCCTGTCTTCTGTCTCCGCTGAGGGATCTCTGCGGGGCGAGGCGGGGGGGGGCAGGCGCGCGGCTGTACGGGCAGAGTTTTCACTCCGGTGGTCTCGCTCCCGGGCAATGGAGCTCGCGCAGCAGCGAGCCAGCCACACCAACTACCCACGCTGCTTCGGAGGGAAAAAATAAAGAACCAGTTCATTAACAAACCCAAAGAGGGGAGGGGGGGGGGGAACCCCGAAACGCTCTGATCTGATCTGTCCTTTGATGTGAGCAGGGCCGGCCGGTGGGGGCGTTTGAAAGCGAGAGAGCGCGCGAGCACGGGGGCGAGGGGTCTGTGAATCCAGATGTTTCTCACAGATGTTCGGGGACGAGGCGCCGATGGGGAGGGGGGCGGGGGGCACACAGCCGACCTGCAGAGACAGACCCTGCGCCGCCCCCGCCTCCCAGCCGTCTCACAACCGGGGCCACAGTGTAGCGGAGCAGGAAAGGGCAGGGCAAGAGGAGCTGAGGGCAGGGACCCGCTCCGTGTTTTATTCTGGATGGCGCAAAATGCGTTGTGCCGTCAGGGTGGCATTAGTGCAGAGAGAGAAAGAGTGCAAATCAGAGGAGCCCCCCGCGCGGGCTTAGCGGGAGGAACGTTGTGGTCGCCATTCCCTTTCCAGGTATCCGAAGTCCTCCGTTCCCCCTTCCTCGGATCCTGGCTGGGCCCTCTGCAGCCCGCGGGCTTGGCTCTTCTCCAGCTGTTGACATCTGTTGGTCTTGCGGAGATGATGATGATGATGATGATGGTGGTGGCGGGGGAGTCTGGAGGTGCTGTGCGTTGTGTACCACTAGGGTCGACTTTTAACAGTCACAAACTCTTCAAAACCCACCTTAAGCCGGGACTGGGAAGAGAGCTTTGATCAGGAGTTCACTGGCTAACAGACTTTATTTACATAGCGCCACTGGAACAATCGCCTACCAGTGAGGAGCTTGTTGTAGGGCGGGCAGAGAGATTTCTGTAAAAAAGCGCTCTGCTCTTCCACCCTGCTGGACTCAGAATGACCTGACATGAATCAGTTGCTCCTGCCGGGGTATTTGAATCCGCAGGTAAATATAAGACCTGGTGGGCAGAGATCTTCCAGGACCAGGAGTGAATATAATACTGGTATACTCCAGGCGCACAGTTTCGATCCACAAAAGCCGGAATCCAGGTTTTCCAGTTCCCTTTAAAACCTCAAGACCGTTATAAAGTGTTAAATTAGTCCATTAACTGACTAATATATTTTTAATGAAGTTCTGTAAAACAATCACTTAAAAGCGAGGAGGTTGTTGTGAGACTGGCTGCATTCTGTCAAGCCTGCCAGGAATAGCTGCATGCAGGCAGATTGCCCAGTGTAACACAGTGGGCAAGGGGCTTTGAAATACTGCTGAGAGGCCCAGAAACTCTCGATATTGATCATGAGCGGCACTCGCAGCAGCTGTTATCTCAGGCCTTTGTTTCTAACTCAATCACGAAGAGCTGGGTTAAACAAAATCTGTGAACCTTCTGCGTGCTGCAAAAAAAAAAACCAACAGCTCCTAAATTACGTTATTTCCAACGGTAAAGTGACAAAGGTAGATTACAGCAATTTCTGGCGGTTCATTGTGAGCAATTATAGATGGCGACTGTAGGTAGTGATCACTGCCAAGTGTGAAACCACTCTTGCTGCTGACAGCACTTGCCATCAATAACTGCTTGCAGTTTTTCTAATCTAAATCTACACTTGTCAGTTTATCCAGTGGAAAATTAGAAGAGGTGTTTTTTTTTTCTACAAACTGACAGCTCACTTCATCACCCTCTTAACTTTCTGTGTGGTAACAAAATACAAAATGATTGCTCCTCCAGGGGCTCCTGAGGCCTGTCAGGAAAACTGGTCTTAGTGAGCATAAGACTTGCAAAACACTGAAGTGTCACTGGGCAAACCTCACCGAGCAGTTTTATTTAGGATGCAGGAGGCAAGGGAAATCACTGACACAGAAGATCACATTCACCGAGTGTCTAGTAGAACAGAGAAATCCACACACTCCTCTGTCCTCTGGCTTTTAACTGTACTTCCCATCTTTTGTACTTGATTAACCGAAGGAATTACTTGGGTAAGAAATCAGACTGCTCGTCTGTTTTAGGCTTGATCGGTTGCTAATTGAAAAGCCTCTGTTAAAAGTTCCCCTCCCGCAAGTTCTTTGCTTCTTTATGAAGCAGAAGACGGCTTCAGCAGATTTCTTTCTGCCCGTTCAGCAAGCTTGTCAAGGCACACAGAACTCAAATTCTCTCTCTGTACACAGACTCTTTATGTCACGGATATTGAATCCCGATCCTGGAGGTTCACCATGTTTTCTGCTTTGCTTTCCACCCTGGAGTCTTGGAAACTTGACTTGAATCAGTTGTTCACTTCATTGGTTATTTTAAGGTAACTATAACCAGGTAACTGGTGGGCTGTGGTCGTCCAGGATCAGGAGTGAATATTGCAGGGTTTTTATCGTAAGTGCACAGTTCCCAACCACAAAGGTCAGCATCCAGGTTTTCCATGTCTCTTTAAATGATCAAGAGCTGAAGACCTTCAAAATGTGTTGAAGTGGTCCAGTTTAGCTAACGATCAGCTCAATTTGGAGATAAGTGCTGCTGCTCTGTATTATGCACAGATAGGAGAGATAGTCGTTTTAATTTTCAAAGCTTCATGGTTACAAGGCCTGCTGGACTGGACAGTAGTCCACGGAACCACGAGTGAAGAAAAAGTGACAGTGCCCAGAGAACACTTACTTTTCACAGGCTGTAAAAGACCTTAGGATTAGCTGTTTCCTTAAAAACTCTAAGAATTACTGTAGGTGAATCGTTTCATTGGTTACAGAGGTTGAATCCAGAAAAGAACACCGTTCCCCTTCACCCTCAGGAAGAGAGTCTAACACAAGCAGTCCCCAGCCTGTTGTTACAGTACCTCAGCAGGTTGTTTGTTTTGGGAATGTCGGTTCCCCAGTAGCAGAGTAATTTCCCACTCCATCTCTGCTGCAGTGTTCTGTATTTCATTCCTCTCTGCATTATTCACGGCCTTTCCCCTTAATCTCTTAAAAGCTGTAGCTTGTCGTGCCTCATTAATATGCATTAATGAGCACTTTTACACAAATCAAAGGCCTTTTCCCTGTCAAGTGTGGGTTCGCAGACAAATTAAACCGGCCCGAAGTGTCTCGCCTCCCCTCATCTGAGCCAAACGATTCCCTCCCCTTCATCCAGGGCTCCACAAACCATGAGGAGTCCAGCCCCCCGTCCCCCAGAGCTGTGCTCAGCTGGCGTTCTTCCGGTCTCTCAAGCGCTCGCTGGCAGCGACGGGGGCTGGCATGGCCCCCATCCTCACTTGGTGGCGGCCCCTCTCTCCCTTTTTTCACCCTGCGTGCAAAGTTTATCCCACGCCGTTTTCGGTGGAGGCCGGGGTGTGTGATTGTGGAAGTGAGCGCCGCCCAGTGGGAAAACTCCTTCCGTGTGACCTGGTGCTCTTTCAGCAGACGCCACGCTTTCTCCTAATTCTTCTTCGGGCCGAAACTCCAAGTCGGAACTCCGGGATTGGTCCTGATAGGCGGGCTTCATGCACTGTGTGCGCCCTCCGCCTTGCGCTAGGGAGTCGAGCCCCCCGGTGCCCTGCGGCTCAATGCGGAAGGCCGAGTGAGGAGCCCCCGCTGGGGGAGGAGGGGGAGGCTGAGCAGGGGCGAGGGGTGGGGAAACCTGCAGCCTGTGCTGGTCTAGATGCTGTACGGGGAAAGGGAGGGACAGGCCTGCCTGTCCGTCTCTTGCCCTGCTCTCTCAGGCGGGTTTTGCCCGAGCAGTCGCCATCGGAGAGCACGTGGGGAAACGCGGCCTGTGGGCCCGGCTGACCGAGGGGCGGGGGGAATTTTGCAGATCGGAAAAGGGGGGTGCATCTGGTTTGTCTTTTCCTGGGATTTGGTTGCCCAGCTGCTCACTGATCCCAGTAAATCTCACCCAGATCCCATACACTGATCCCAGTGTCTCGAATTTCCTGACTCTTGGGGGATCACTCTACACTTCTGTCCAAACAAAAAGACAAAACTACTAAAATGAAAGATGTTTATATTTGAAGAGTATATAAATATATATACATATATACATAATATATATTATTTTTTTTCCTTTGTACAATACTCTGTCTACATTTATTTATTTACTAACTGCTTTTGTTCTGTAAAACCAAACTAGATTTGTGCAATAATGAAAACGACTGTAATTTATTGTAAATACAGCCAACTGGCAATAAGAAATAGTGACTTCCAAATAGATTTAGACAAAGATGAAATGTTTTAAAGGGGTATTTTAAAGAAAAAGAAACAATGAATGATTGCGTTTCCTTTCCGTTCTGCCCTGGTACCTACAGTATATGGCAAGTACCTGGTGTTGACTTCAGTGTAAAATGTATTGTATTAAATAAAATTGGAGAAAAAATATTTATGAAAAGCATGGTCCCTAGAGTGGTTTCTCTCCTGGCTCGTGTGACGTGTACAGTTGCGATAGGTCATTTGGCTCACCTTGCTGGTTTGGTGTCATAACCTCTCAGTCCCAGGATTCCTTTCACCCGCGCCTTGAGGGGTCCTGGGCTGTGGACTTCAGCAGTCAAGCTGGGCCGCTGGGTCTGTAGCACATGAGATACAGTGAACACATTACAGGAGCTATCCTGCGTTCACCATGGTTGACAATCCATCCATTTTCTAACCGCTTAATGCAATTCAGGGTCATGGGGGAGCTGCTGGATCCCATCCTGGCAAGCAAAAGGTGCAAGACAGGACACCACCTGGGACAGGTCTGTCACACTCGCTCACACCAGGGCCAGTTTTCCAGGGTCTTTGGACTGTGGGAGGAAACTGGGGTTACCGGAGGACACCCACGTGAACACGGGGACAACTTGTGAATGCAGATAGCACCCCAGGAATTGAACCCAGGTCCCCAGCACTCCAAGCCAGCACAGCTAACCACTGCGCCACCCTGCCGCGCAAATCTGTGATTTTAGAATGTCAGAGGTGGGTTCCGAGAGCGCTGCTCTCATCTCGTGTGACAGCCGAGAGTAACGCGTTTCACCGGGCTGAGCCTGACAGTGCTGGCCGGGAAATCGTCATTGTTTTCAACGTCCCTCATCAAGAATAGAAATAAATAAAGCCGCTGTACTGTCTCTGCGCCCCCCCCCAACCCCCAAACAGCTAAACCGTAACGTTTTCAATACCAGCTGATGAATTAATAGTGGTATCAAAATGCAAATCAACAAAAGAAGCCATCGTATTTTTAATTACCCAGAGCAAATCGCAGTAATTGGGGCGCTCCTGCTCAGAATTGACTCAATTAATTTGATGCCACATCTAGGTTAAGACAGCAGTTTTCCTGTAAGCCTGATTTTTTTTCTATTCACAATTAATTACGACAAAGAAGAGAAAGGGGTAAGATAGTAGGTTGGGAATTTGTGATTAATTTCTTCCTTATGAGATTACAAGCAGATGTTTTTTTTTATATCATTAGTATTTTGTGTGTGAAACATAATCACAAGGTATCACATTACAGGTATCGCCCACAATGAATATTTTAATTTTTCTCAATTAATCTGCCACTGGCGTGTGCACAGCAGCATGTAACAGAGGCGATGAATGTTATTACTGTCTTATCAACGCTGTTCTTGCCTTTGTTTTACTCAAATTGCTTTGCTTTGTGCATAACTCACTGTTTGTTCCTTGCCTTATTTATTTATTTTTAAATCACATATTTGAATGTTTTTTTTTTTTGCTTTTGGATGCAAGCCCAGTCAGAGGAAAGATCTGTTTTTTTACACTGCAGTGTATTTCATTTTTTGTCTAGCAGAGAGGTCTGGAAACTCTAGACAATGTATAAGGTAACTACAGTAACAGGGACACTTTTTTCCCAAGTCACACCATGGATGTAAACTGTAAAAACTGGATATGTTCTGACAGTACTTACAGGACCATCCACTTCTTTAATATACTAGAATGATCTATTTATAATGATCGGACATGGCTCGACACAGCGGTGCAGTGACTGGCATTGCCACTAAACATTATTCCAGCCAGTTTGTCCCCCAGAACAGGTGTTCCAAATTAATTGTCAGTTTGCAAAAGGGATCTTACTTATTATTGGATCTATAACTCATTATATCCTTTCCTTGTAGTCTAATAATGGCTGTAAATTCCTACATAGTCTCTGATGGACTATTACAGTTTCTTAAAAGGTCAATAGTTCTCTAAGGACAGCATTGGTTACAATATAGTATTGATCAGACATAACAGAAACATTGCAGTATATTTATGCATTAAGCCTGTGTAATTATACATTTCACCCCCAATATCAATGAGTTGTTTGATCCAGATCATACCATTTAACCCCCACATTTCAAAGATAAAAGTTTTATTTCTATGTTCTGTGTCTCTGTTATTCCAGATGGTATAGCAATGGGGGGGATAATGTTTATACAGAAGAGACCATACAGTATAAGGAGTAGCTGTTTATGGAAGCTGACACGTTTCAAGGGGATTTTCCCAACATACATATTACATTTAAGTACAAACTCTCTGCCCCTTGCTTCTTGAAATATTAAATTAGGGAATGTATACCACACAATTTTCTTAATGTTTAAGTAATTCTGTATTCATTTTATTCATTCATTCATTTTAGAACGCTCCCCTTCTGTCTGACAAATAATCTTTTTTAAGGTTAATGGGGTTCATTCCTCCGTGTAACCTTAAAGCCTTTCGTGTTAATCTTCCTAATAACTGAAGTCAGTACTGTACATCCAAGACAAGTGAGGTGTAAACAAACCTAGATAAACCCTCAGGATCTAGATAAACGTATTCGACCATTTACAGAAAGGTCTCTTCACAGCCACAAACTACGTTTTTTCAAAGGTCTTTACAATGGGAGAGAAATTCGAATCACTTCTGGTCCTACCCTTAGTAAATACATTACAAGCATTTGACGGAAGTGAAACAAACCTTGACATCCAAGAGTTTTGACTAGTTTTCTTTTTTTTTTAGCTACAATACGACGAAACATGATTGACATGTTTAAGTACGGCGTTAGTCGCGGCTGACTTGTTATCCGCCGGAAGTCGCGTTCCCAGTTACAGGAAATGGCCGAAACGAGAGCGCCGCGCGCGCGCCTATGCCGGAAGTGAAATCGTGAGCGGATGGCAGACGCGTTTGCCGCGCCTGTACTGTGATGACGAAGGTAGGACGCTACTACGTTGGTAAAGTTCATTGTTCGTGTAGTATCATGGTTGATTTGTAAAGGTATTTCATCGTTACGATTTTATATATTGCAACATGCTCATGTTTCCTGTCGGTTCTTGGAAGATGTGATGATATTTGGGGGTAATGTCACAGACTGTGTTTCTCCTTACCTTTTTGTGTCAAAAACATTACACCTGTGTTTTGCTGCATAGATACTTGTCTCGTAGTCACGAATGACTACTGCAGCATCAGTTTGTGCCCTGCGATGAGTTCAACGTTAATTCAAATGCAAATAATTTTCCAGTAATTGTGAAACCTGCATGTCCCCCCGGAAATCATTAACTTTATTACATTTAGTAAGGGGTTAAATTATGCAGTTCAGGGAGGTTCTCTCTGAACCGAGACGCTGCCCGGGCTCTGAGAGAAGACACCTGGCCCACGGAGATCAGCCATTCCTTCTCAAGACATCGTCCGCCTTTTTACAACCCTTTCCCTTGATGTCAAAGCTCTCCTCATCCCAGCTTCCGGGATTTCCTTTATTTTACAAGCATGATGGCGACTGAGGTGGCCGAGTTCCTCCGGAGTCATCAGCCAGCTGCTGCTATCCCGGTAGTGAAGCAGCACACCTCACGTGGGAATGGTAACCGGATAAAAACCAAGGTAAAAAAAGGAATCGGGTTCGTTTTTCCATCCAATGAGATGAGAGCTAAGTTTCCATGAATCAAGTCAAAAGGGGGTGTGTTTTTTTTTTGTTGGTGTTACCATGAGTGGGTGGGTTGAGTTTTATCAGTAACTCGCTTTGTCGAAGAGCTTTGCTGTGTCAGACCTAGCGACCTGGGCTCAGACAGCACACCACGCCGAGGACAATATGGAGCAGACACAAACACGGTGGCGTCTGGCTTAGTGTGGCCTTTGGAGCCTGACAGGTGCTCATGTGGGCGGGCAGTAGTTGTAGCTGGAGCAGATGCCCCTTGTCAGATTACCTGGCTTTGGCGGTGGCGTTCTGATGTGTAAATACAATCTCGGGGTGGCAGAAAGCATTTTCCCGAAGTTTGTGATTATGTAGTGGAGGCCCGGTGGAGCAGTTAGCATTGCTGCCTTGCAGCGCTGTGGCTCAGGGTTCCGCTCCTGGGCTGCTACTGTCTGTGTGTGGAGTTTGTTCTCCCCATGTTTGTGTGGATTTCCTCCAGGTGGTCTGGTTTCCTCCCACACTCCAAAGACCTGCTGGTGGGCTAATTGGCTTTTGGGGAAATTGTCCCTGGTGTGCCCGAGATGGAGGCATCCTGTCCAGTGTGTACCCTGCATTTGCCCGTTTCCTGCTGGGATAGGCTCCGGTTCCCCCACGACTCTGAAGTGGAAAAGGCGATTAGACGATGGGTGGGTAGATGTGATTATGCTTGCATGCGGTGGGGGGTAATCCCTGCGATGGACAGGTGTCCCATCCAGGGAAACGGCAATTTTTCCCTAGTAACCGTAGCCATTCAGAAACCCGGATGAGCTCTGGCCCCACGAGCCGCTGATGACTCCAGCCTGGACCGTAGATTTGGAATACACCCGCAGTGTCCAACCTGATGACCTGCAGCCCTCTAGCTGTTTGGAGAATGTCGTGGGTGGGGAGGGGTATTTGCAATGGCTTTTGACGCTGGTATAAAATGCCTTTTTAATATTTCTGTACTGTGTATCGCATACTTACCATTGCTACGCAAGGTGAGGAAAAAAAGGATAAAAGGGTTAGACAGGGGAGCTGACCGGCTGCTACTTCTGTCGAGGGCCCGAGGGCGGGGGGGGCAGTCTCCCCGAAATAATTCAGGCTGATGTTAAACAGGTGTGTACCAGCTGGCTGAAGCGTGAAATAACAAACATTCTGTAGTGTGATGAAACCCAGGACTCGTGCGTGCAGGCTCACGGGGAACCAGGTGGAGGGTGAATCCCGATTGGCCAGGAGAGCCGGACCCGCTTCAAGCCGAAGAGGGGAACGAGACCAACGTGTGTGGGGAGGGATCTCACTTTTTTTTCTCGGTCACTCGATGGAAAGCGGAGGCGCGAGGGGGGTGTCTCCCGGTGCCTTGGGATTAGAATGCGCCCCCCAGCTGACAAAATGCAAGCGTCCCCCCCCCTGCTAATGGGGGTTAAAGTGTAATTGAATGGCGGCCTGGCCTGCGAGGGGTGCTCGTGTCAGACGAAAGAGGCTCTGGTCATTAACGCGGAGCGGGGCTGGAACCGTTGGCAGTGGAGCTGCCAGCTGCAATTAAATGTTAATTGAGCGCTGATTACCGCCGATCACCGGCGCCCCCTCCGCGACCCCGCGGCGCTGTTGTGATTACTCGCCAAACAAAACAGCGTGGAGGTCGCGGGAGGTGGACACTGGTTCCTCCTTAATTTAATGAAGAAAGCGAGACGCGTTTCGGTTTAAGAAAAACAATTCACTTCAGCTTTTTTTTTTTTGAGATGAAGAGACTGGAAGGGAAGTCAGATTGCTTTTTTGAAAAGCTTTTCCTGCCATATTGTTTGGGTGAGAAAAATGCACCGGACTGCTTATTTGAAATGGAAACGATTATTTTCTCTCGGTTATTCAGTTTTAATCTTCTGCTGTCCCTTGTTTGTTTTTTTTTTGTCTTTTTATGTTTCCTCATCTTGATCCAGTACATTAATGGCTCAATTGTACAGCACATTGGCAGGGTCTTGTTTGGAAGTTCCTCTTTACTTTGCCACCACAAGAAACGGCTTCAGGCCCAGCAGTGAAAGAAGGCATGGAGGACAAAGAATTGTAGCTGTCTGATGAAAATGATAGCAGACTGAAGAATACCAGGAGAGGGTCTCACTGCTCTTCAGGGTGCAAGTCCTTGCAAGTGTCCCCTGATTATCAAAGCTGCTGCTTGCTTTGGGGGTCAGGGGTCAAAGGTGAAAGTTCACAATTGATCACGTACTTTTGCCAAAAACAACGCCTGAAAAATTAACGCAGCCTCGTACTCCCTTATTCAAGTCAAGTCCTGGGTTTTTTCAGATGTGCATCCAGAATTTCCTTTTTCCTTAAGCCACCAGTTAGCATACAGGTCTTGGAGAGATGAAGGCAACACGCATACAGCACAGATCTTACGCTAGACGGAGACCTGACATGGCTGTCTGACAAGGTGACTGCTCTCCAAGGGGCTCCAGTGTGCTTTGAGCTGAGGTTGCACTGGGTCTGTGAGCACCATGCAGTGAAGACTCTGAGCACAGGAGTGGACAGCTTGGGGTGAGGGCATTATGTCCAGTTGATCATAGCTTAGATATATAAGAGGGCCAGTCTTTTCTTGAGGGATTCCAGCAAGTGTGCTTCAGCAGTGTGAACATCTTGTTCCAGACCTCCACAATCATTTAAAGATCTGCCTTCCTTTACTCAGTCTTTTACCACCAAGCTTTGAATTTTCACCTGTGTCCTTGGCTCTTCGTTTCAGGAGAGCCCGCACATATCGAATGCTTGTAACCATTTGCTCCTTTCAAGGATAAAGACATCTAATTCCTGAAAGCTCCAAGATGATGGTCCCATAAGGGATTGATTAATCCATAAGGGATTGGACTGATTGCGGGGCCGCGGATGTTTCGGGAAGCTTCCCAAGTGCTTTGTTTCTTACCTAGTTAGAGACGGGAGGACCGAAGGCCATCTGATCCGCTAACGCTTGTTAGCGACGGCGCGGGCCTTGATCCGTTTCCTTGCAGGAGGATTCAGGGGGGGGGATTCTGGGAATCCCATCCTTTTTCCAGTGCTCTTCCTCTGAAGGGGCTGGTCCTACAGGAGGCGCAACGCAGCTGATGCGCTGCAGCTCCTGGCAGCACTCCATGAGGAAACCGCCCTGTGCAGAGGGCCTCCTCGCTGAAACCTGGGATTGGGCCTGTGGGCTTTGCCATACTGGGTCTGGAAAAGCCATCGGGAATGGTAAAAACTCTTGTATTGGAGTTGGAGGAGGGAGAGATCCGTAGACGACTCGGAGCAGCGCCCGCTGTGTGCGTGCCTTTGTTTACCCTCGGGCCGCCCACAGCGGGCCTGCTTCGCAGAGTAACGAGATCCGCCGGCGTCCGTCTGGGCCAGCACCCCCAGATGGAGCGCCGCTCGGAGTCGAGAGCCCCCCCCGTGGCGTGGCGCGGCCGCGCGGGAGAGGGGCGTGGTCTCTGCCCGGCGAGGAGAACGGGCTCAGTGGCTGCTTCCCCCAGGCTATGCCGGCCCCAACGCCGCCTTCAGAGCGCGGACCTGCCCCTGAGTTATCTAGATTGAGCAGATACCGGTTAAATCCTGACTTGTTTTCATTTCGTTTCTTCTCCCCCCCCCCACCTCCACTGCCTCCTCTCCTCGCCGTGCTGTTGATGCTCCTCACTTCAAACTGTCCCCAGGGCGCCTCTCCAATAAAGCTACGCGGCCTCGGTTGCTCTCCCTTCCCTGAGCAATTTATTTTGGGCTTTTACTTACTTCATTTAGAAATATACAGCATTTACTTGCCCCGGCCACTGTATTGATTTGTGCGTGTCTAGGGAGTCTTGCTTGTCTCAAATGCGGAGGGTCCGCCCCGTGGCTAGGAACAGCCAGCCGCCCAACGCCGAGCACGCGGAGGAGGTGGCACGAACACGGCAGGGCCAGTCGGACGGAGAGGAGAAGCTTTCAGACGTGTGATCGCCGTTCGATTTTATTTTTTGGGACGCCTGCCGGCTGTGCCCATCCCTTGCTCATGCGAGCGGCACGGCGCTTAAAGAAGACGAGAGGCACTGAAGCACCTGCCAGGAGGAAGTGGGAACGGCTCTGCGGTGTGGACGTGGAGGTTCCCGGGGAGCTGCTTCTCTCCTGGTAGCTAACGGAGGGCGCTCCACAGTCGTGGCTCCCTGCACGCTCCCCCAGAGCTCGCCTGTTCGGTCGATTCAGTGTGATTTCCAGAACGGAGTTTCCGGAGAGGGCAGGGTGCTCCCAGGTCCGTGGCCTCGGACTTTCTCCGAATCATTCCGAGCCGCCGCCCAGGCAAGAGAGCGTCCCTGGAGACGAACACATGGGACCACTGCTTGGCCGACGGTTGCCTTAATTTAGAGGGATCCATCCCACCCTGCTTTACAAGCGCCAGTCTGATGGAGGCTTAAGGCAAGTGGGGCGTCTCTCATCAGCGAGAGGTGACCTGGGGGTCCAGGCTGCCTCGCTTGGTTGCCACTGGCTACAGAAGTTTGGTTGCCGTGGAGACGCTGCTGAAGACTTCATTTGCATCCTGGCTGATGGAGGGCAGGGCCCCTTATTGTGAGCGAATTTGGAAGGGGTGGGGGACTGCGACAGCAGTTCGGTGATGATGCAGGAGTTGTGGTTTCCAGCAACAAAGTGTTTTCGATCTGTGAGGTTAAGGGGGAGAGCGATAGAAATGAGGTACACTCAGGGTCACATTGGGCTGAAGGTTAGAGCTGAGAGGCGCTGAGAAAATTAAGGCTGAGTGAGAGTATAGGAGGGTTGATCAGTGTGAGGCATTGTAGGTGCACTGGCGGAAAACATGATTTCCACTGTGCTGGTATCTTACCCTTAGATAAGAAGCAGTGTGTTAGTGATTTACGGTTCATTGCAACGGTATATAGACTCCCAATCTGGCACTGTTTGACCAGTAGACGTACTACTGCAGTCTCCAGAGCTTTGCCTTGTTAATATTGTGTCTGGGAGA